AGGGTGCAGGCAAGGTGTAGGGCCCAAGGAAAGGGACTCTGTCCTCAGGGACTCTCCTCTGCCCCCTCCCCCAGCAGCCCAGGACGACAAGATGCCGGGAGGTGAGGAGTGTGAGCCCCACTCCCAGCCGTGGCAAGTGGCCTTATTTGAGCGTGGGCGCTTCAACTGCGGTGCTTCTCTCATTTCCGCACACTGGGTGCTGTCTGCAGCCCACTGCCAAACCCGGTATGAAGACAGGGCTCTAAGTCCTGAGGGGCATGCGGCAAAAGTCTAGGGATCTGAGAATCTTGGATCCTGAGGAGGAAAGAGCAGGAGCCTGGGGGTTGAGGGGTTGAGTTCGGGGTGGGTGTACCTCCTTGGTCCCTGAGGGGCAGCGGCTCGAGCTATCACCGGCTTCGGCGCCTTGGGCAGAGGGTAATGGCATCTCCAGACTCCCGCAGGGTGGGGGGACCCCAGCTCGCCGCTCTTTGATCTTTCTGCCTACCCCTCACTCCGCTTGCGGGTGATCACCGCCCGCACAGCTTCCTGAGAGTGCGCCTGGGCGAGCACAACCTGCGCAAGCGCGATGGCCCCGAGCAGCTGCGGACGGTGGCTCGCATCCTCCCGCACCCGGGCTACGAAGCACGCAGGCATCCCCACGACATCATGCTGCTCCGTCTAACCCGGCCCGCGCGCCTGTCCCCGCAAGTGTGCCCCGTGGCGCTGCCCACGCGTTGCCCCCAACCGGGTGAGGCCTGCGTGGTGTCTGGCTGGGGCCTGGTGTCTGATGACAAGCCTGGGACCAAAGGGAGCACAGAGTCACAAGGTGCGTGAAAGGATGGTGCTGGGTGTCAGGCCTCCAGGGACCCTATTCTCCAGGGCTCTTGGGCGAAGAAGACAAGGGCCTGAAAATACGGATTCACTCCAAGTCCACTGTCTTCCCCAGTGAGTCTCCCGGATACGCTGCATTGTGCCAACATCAGTGTTATCCCGGCCACATCTTGTAACAAGGACTACCCGGGGCGCCTGATGGCCTCTATGGTGTGTGCAGGAGTAGAGGGCGGAGGCATGGATTCCTGTGAGGTCAGAGCCATGGGGTAGGGGGACAGGTTTGGGAGTTGGGATGGGATCAGGTTATGCTTGCTTTGGGCCAGAAAAGATGCTAGGGATAGGTTTGGGGATGGAGAAGGAAGAGCAGTTAGAATGGGGATGAGGTTGGAGATGGATTGGGTTGTGCTTGGGGTGCACGATTTGGCGGTTGGTTTGGAATGGCCTGGGTTTGAGTTAAGAACAGGAATGGGCTTGGGGCACCTGGGTCGCTCAGTTGGTTAAGCGTCTACCTTCGGTTCAGGTCATGATCTCAGGGTCCTGGGATCCAGCCCGATGCCTGGCTCCCTCCTCAGCGGGGCATCTGCCTCTCCCTCTGGCCCTCTGCTCGTGCTCTCTCTCTCTCAAATAAATAAAATATTTTTTTAAAAAAAGAATAGGTGGGCACCTGGGTGACTCAGTCAGTTAAGCAGCTGCCTTCGGCTCAGGTCATGATCCCAGGGTCCTGGGATGGAGTCTCGCATCAGGCTCTCTGCTCAGTGGAGAGCCTGCTTCTCCTTCTCCCTCTGCCTGCTTCTCTGCCTACTTGTTTTTTTTTTTTAAAGATTTTATTTATTTATTTGACAGAGAGAAACACAGTGAGAGAGGGAACACAAGCAGGGGGAGTGGGAGAGGGAGAAGCAGGCTCCCCGCTGAGCAGAGAGCCCGATGTGGGGCTTGATCCCAGGACCCCAGGATCATGACCCGAGCCGAAGGCAGACGCCCAACAACTGAGCCACCCAGGCGCCCCTTCTCTGCCTACTTGTACTCTCTCTCTATCTCTCTGTCAAATAAATAAATAAAATCTTTATTAAAAAAAAAAAACAGGAATGGGCTTGGTTTAATTTTTTTTTTAAGATGTATTCATTTATTTTAGGGAGAGAGAGAGAGCACGAGGTGGGAAGGGGGCAGAGCGAGAGGGAGAGAGAGAATCTTGAGCAGACTCCCTGCTAAGTACGGAGCCTGCAGCCTGGAGCCCTATGTGGGGCTCCATCTCAGGACCCTGAGCCGAAATCAAGGGTCAGACGCTTAACCGACTGAGCCACCCCAGCACCCAAACCAAACCAAACCAGTGCCCCTGGTTTGATTTTAGATGGAAAATATGTTGGGTTGAATTGGGGATAGGGCAAACTTTGTCTAGGATGTGAAAGACATGATGACTGGGATTGGTTGTGTTGGCAGTGAGGATGGGAGTAGGTCTGGTTTGATTCCGAATGGGGAAGATGTAGGTGTTTGATTGGGTTGGGGTTACATGGGAAGGATAGAACATGGGTTGGCCAAGTTGTATTGACTTGTGTTGGGTTGGATTGGTTTGGGTTAAACTGGGTTGTATTGAGTTGAGTTGGGGTGGGATTGCATGGGGTGGGGTTGGATTGGATTTTGATTGAGGTTGTGAATGGTGATTGGGATAGGGATGGGGGCACCAGGATCCAGAAATTTCCCATTCACACTTTCCCTTCTTCCCACAGGGTGACTCCGGGGGACCCCTAGTCTGTGGGGGAGTCCTGCAGGGCATTGTGTCCTGGGGTGATGTCCCCTGTGATGCTACAATGAAGCCTGGAGTCTATACCAAAGTCTGCAGCTACTTGGAGTGGATTAAGGAAACCATGAAGAAGAACTGACCATTTTGGTCTACCACCTATGTCTCTGACTGAACGGAAGCTCCCAGAGCTGACCAGCAGCTGACCTGACCTGGGACAGTGTTGGGCCATCCCTCAAGACCTCATTTGTCCAAGGCACAGATGTTAGCCAAGGACTTGTCCCGTCTCAGGCCAGAGCCGGTGCTCAAGGTCACCTGTTTAAACGCCGAGATAACAAGAGTGCTGATGCAAGTTTCTCTGTAGGAGTTTCTGTGACTTTCTTCTGGGGATGAAGGGAAGTGGGAGCCAGAGACTGGTTGGGGACCCAGAGCTACTGTATATTGTTCCTTTTCGCCCACTGCCCCAATACCTAGGTGAAGAGAAATGGCTTGAAGTAGGGCTCTCTTCATTCACATATGCATAGGATCAGCTGTGTAATCTTGAGGAAAAGACCCAATGCCCCTCAGCTTCCGTTTCCCCATCTGTAAAACAGAGATCATCATATTGCTTACCTCACAGGGTTGTAAGAATTAAATAAGGAGGTTCATATGAACTGATTCAAATAGTGCCTGGCACTGGGGAAATATATCTCTGGACCCCAGTGAAAAGACCCAGCACACACAAGATGATCAAGAATGACCTCATTGTCTTCGCGATTTAGTTGTGGGCTTCCTGGTAGCCAGGCAAAAAGGCAAATGTTCTCCTTTCCTTAGGCACGTACAGTGGAGGCTGAGTTATCCTGCGACCTACTTTGATTTTACTGAAGAACCAAGGGAGGTGTCAGGGGCCTATGAATTTAACACTGAGGCTGCAGAAATCTGCTTCCCAATTCTCAACAGAGATCCCCCCCAAATGTGATCTTCAAGGTCACCCAATGTTGAACTACATGAACCTGGCTCCTGAGACCTAAATATTTTACTGGGGGAAGGGAAATTAGAATTTGTGGAGAGGATGCTCTTGATGGTGGAAGGCAGATTGTCTGGAATTCGTGGGACTTTGGAGGACATAACCTTGAGTATCCAGATCTGGGGAACAAGGAGTAGATGTGGGGTATAATGGGATCCCAGCATTGTTTGGGGGCAGGGGGACATTGGATTTTGAAATGGTAGGGAACTTATTCAGGGAGACCACTGAAACTTCATATTTCTGGATCTGGGGGCACTAGGATTGTGGTACCCACCACAATTTTATTTGGAGAGAAACAATAGATTGGGGCCTAGATCCTGAGTCCGGGAGTGCCAGAGTCAGGGTGTTCTGAAAGCCAAAGCTATGTTTTGGAGACAGCTGAAGCTGGGAGACTGGCATTTTGGCTCCAAGTGGTGCAGGGAGAAAGGAATCAGAGCCCCACTGCTGGTGTTTGAGGGTGCACTGAGTCCTTGGGGTTCCAGTATATGGGGCTTTGTATTGGAGGTCAGTGATTCCTCCACTCTCCTCTTTCTTCTCCCATTCACCCCCGCACACCTCCCCTCATTGTCTCTGTCTCCCTGAGCAGGGGCCCAGGAGCTCCAGGCCCTGCCCCGTCTGGCCTCAGGCCCCAGGAATGCTTCCAGCACAATCAGGGCCCACAGAATAACAGGTGCTCGCTCTCCCGCCCTTTCCGCAGCTCTGGGGTGGGAGGAGGTGTCCAGCCCCCAGGCAGCAGGGGCAGGGCCTTGGCCAGCATCTGGGTGCCAGCAGGGCAGGGGTGGGGCTGGGGGGGGGTAGTGAGGGCTTTAAAACAGTCCTTGGTGAGGCTTCCAAGCTCCGAGCTCACCACCAGCCTGCCCGTGGTCACCATGTGGTTCCTGGTTCTGTGCCTTGCCCTGTCCCTGGCAGGGACTGGTGAGACAGTGGGGAAGATGTGGGGTGGGGGAGTGGGCCCGACTCTCATGCTTCCCTCACCCCCCATAACTTCTTCCTATCCCACAGTCCACCCCAGACCCAGGTCCCAGGCTCTCTCCCAGGCCCCTAAAGTCCTACTTCAGCCCCTCCTCCTGGTCACAGTCCTCATTCTTGCAATCGGTCCCTGCTCCCTCCCAGGAACCCCCAGAACTTTCTCTTCTTCCCCACTCAGACTCCTGCCCCTCACCAAAGAGGCCAAGCCTGGGCCATCTCTGTCTCTCTCTTTGGGTGACTCCAACTCTTCCAAGGAGTGCTCCCAATCCCAGCAGACCCTGGGACCCTGATCACCCCCACCCACCCCCTTGTTCTCTATGGCTCTGTCTCCTGAGTCCCCAAATCCTTCTACACCCTGGTGATTTTTCCCATCTGGCTGTCAGCTCTCAACTAGGTCCTCTAGTCCCTGACATCTGGTTCCCTTTAAATCTTCCCAGGACCCCCAAATTCCATCAGACACCTACTCTTCTCCCCAAACAGACTTTCTGGCCTGTGACTCCAGGTGGGCCCACCCATCCGGTATGAGGGTCCTACAGATGTCTCTTCCTTACCCAACTCTTTGACCCTGAACCCTGATCCAGCATCCCCCTTTTTTCCCTGAAGAAGAACACCCAGAACCCCCAACTATAGGTTCCTTTCCTTGTGTAATTTCCTTCCTCCCCATGCTCCAGCCCTCCCCAAGTGAATCCCTCCTGTATGGCTCTGGTTTTCTGGGCTTCTCTCCAGGATCCCAAATACCTTCACAGCCCCGCTGTCCTGCCCTACCTCCCCCAGTACTCCAGCATATGATTCTAAAACTGCACATCAGGTGGGTCCTCCCTGCATTCCCACAGCTGCTTGGCCCCAATATGCCTCCATCTTCATTCCTGTCCAGCACCACCCCCGAGAGAACCCCAGATCCCTCCAGTATCCTCAGACTATGAACCCCATCTCCATGAGAATCACCCAATCCCAGAAGAACTGTCATCCAGCTCTGCCTCCCCCTGAGCCCCCTCCCAGTCCTGACCCCAACTCCAGTTCCACGGCCTCACCCCTCTTACAAAGCCATTCCTGTTCAAGGACCCCAGACCCCCAGAGGACCTTCTCCCAGCCCCAGTCAAGGGACCTCAAGTTACACACAGACTCCTCAGCCCAGATGCTATTCTTGGCCTCTCAGACCTACTTCCCCTGCATCTTTAAAGAACCCCAAAACCCAACCTAGACCCGAACCAATTCTTCAGCCTGGGATCCCCTTAACCCCCCCAAATCCTTCCTTCCCAGCTTTTGAGCCACTCTCTAGGGGCCCTATATTCTCTGTTTCTAGAATCTTTTTTCCCTCTCAGAACTTACAATTTTCTGTTCCCCAGGCCAAGACCCCAAATCACCCCGTTATCACCCAATCCCCACATCACATGCTACTCACACGCTGCCTTCTTGTCTCCTGCCTGATCCCTGTGGTTGGCTCTGTTCTCAGCATAGTCTCCCCACCCAGGACCCACCACCAACCCATAATCCCAAGGATGGCTCCAGAATTCCAGAAACTTCCCACACCCCTTGCCCATCTCCCCAGACCCCCAGCCCTGCTCCTCTGCCCCCATGTCCCTCCAACCCAACATTACAGCTCCCTCTTCTAGCCCAGGACCCCTGGCCCCGCTGCCGCCTCCCACCTGCCCTGACCCAGCACCCCTTCCACAGGAGCCGTGCCCCCCATCCAGTCCCGGATCATAGGAGGCTGGGACTGTGAGCGGAATTCCCAACCCTGGCAGGCAGCTCTGTACCATTACAGCAAGTTCCAGTGTGGGGGTGTCCTGGTGAACCCACAGTGGGTGCTCACAGCTGCCCACTGCATAAACGAGTAAGTGGGGGCAGGGTGTGTGGGAAGGGGGTGTCTGTGCTCCCACAGGAATAAACAACTGGACACCGACCCTGGGTTCACCTCAGGGGAGGCTGGGGGACTGAGGGAAACAGATGGTACTAGTCTGGGTCCCATGGAGAGTGGCAGGGACAACCCCAGGGAAGCCCTCCCATGGCAGCCTGTATCTCTGTCTCTCCCTGTAACTGTGTCTCTGTGTCTCTCAGTAACTGGCTCTGTTATGTGTCTGTCTATCTGAGTATGATTTATCCCTGTCTCTCTCTCTTTGTTTGGTCTCGGTGTCTCTGTGTGTCTCCCTGTGTCTGTCCACCTCTGGGTCCCTCTGCTGCCTCCCTGTCACTGTAGGTCTCACCCTCCATCTCTCTGCCCCATCTCTCTCTCTCTCTCTGGGTCTCTGCCTCACTCCCTCTCCCCCATTGCTGCTGAGCACCCCCAGGATGGGACTGAGGGGGACCCCCAGAGAAAAAGAAGGGATTATCCTGAGATGTATGTGTGAGGGGGCTTCTCATGTGCCCAGCCCCTCCGTCCAGGACAATGATGCACTGCAGGGGACACAGGGAAAGGCTGGTTTCAGCTGGAGCCTGGTGGGGGCCTTGGAGGAAGGAGGAGGAGAAAGAGGAGGAGGAGGAGGAAGGGGGAGAAAGTCTGGGGAGGGAGGTGGAGCAGACCTTGGGCTGGGGGCCAGGCCAGCGGCTGCTGGGGAGCCAGCCCCACAGCCCCTGCTGCAGCTGAGCTGGTCCCAGGCCCCCTCCCTGCTCCTCCCATCCTCCCTCCCTGTTCTCCCTCCCCGTTCTCTCTCAGGCTGGGCCCCACCCCCACCGCCTGCACTCCTCACTCTCTCCCTTTGCTTCCTGGCCCTGTCTCACTGAGCCTGCGGCGCCTCCTTCTCCCTGTCTGTTCCTTCCCTCCTGCTCCTTCCCTCCCAGGGACTCTTTCTTCTGTCTCTCTCTCCTTTGTGCTCTGTCTCTCACTGTCCTCCCTCTGCCTCTCATCCACTCTCCCTTTGTGTTCTCTGTTTTTCAGGCTCCCTGTCTTTGACCTTGTCACATCCTTCTGTCACTCACTGTCTTTTCTTCATAGCTCTTTATCTTCCCAACTGTCTCTCCGTCCAAGGTTACTCCTTGTTTCTGTCTTTGGGACGCTCCCTGGCCCCATCTCCCTTTCCCCCTCCTCTCTCCTCATTCCCTGGGGCCCCCTCTTTCCCCAGCAATTACCAGCTCTGGCTGGGTCGCCACAACCTGTTCGAGCATGAAGACACAGCCCAGTTTGTCCAGGTCAGTCATAGCTTCCCACACCCTGAATTCAAGCTGAACCTCCTAAAGAACCATACCCAGCTCCCCGGAGAGGACTATAGCCATGACCTCATGCTGCTGCGCCTGGCAGAGCCCGCCCAGATTACAGATGCTGTGAGGGTCCTGGACCTGCCCACCCAGGAACCCCAGCTGGGGAGCACCTGCTATGCCTCTGGCTGGGGCAGCATTGAACCAGATAAGTGTACGTGGGGGGCCAGACCATGCAGCCTGGAGCCCAGACACTTGGGTGTAGGGAGGAGGGGGCTGGGGACCGGACTCAGGGTCTGAGTGAGGAGGGGCTGAGGAGTCACCGGGGGTCTGGTCGCAGCCCTTTTAATCTCTGGTCTGTAGTCACATACCCAGACGATCTCCAGTGTGTGGACCTCAAACTCCTGTCCAATGATGTGTGTGCCAAAGCCCACTCCCAGAAGGTGACAGAGTTCATGCTGTGTGCTGGACACTTGGAGGGCGGCAAGGACACCTGTGCGGTGAGCCAGCCGGCCCCCCACCCCCAGGCCTCCAGGTGCTGGGGGAGGGGACTCAGGTTCTGGACTGCTGTTGAGAGCTAACCAGGCATCCGTCTCCACTGCTGCCCAACTCCAGCTTCTCCCCACCGAGCCTCAGCGCCCTCCCCCCTGCCCCCTTTCCTTCCCACACCCTCATCCTGGTATCCCACGGATCTCCCTCCTGCACATCAAAGTTCACCTCTGTTGGAATCCCGACGCCCTCTGGCAGTGGACTCTGGAGAGAACTGTGTCTTTTCCCGGAGCACTGTGTGCGCTCTGTGAGCCCAGATGTTAGAGCTGGTGCTCCACAGGCGGAACCGGGGACCTTGCTGACCTTTCTTTTGCTTTCCCCTTTGTGCTGCAGGGTGACTCGGGGGGTCCACTGATCTGCGATGGTGTGCTTCAAGGAATCACATCCTGGGGCCACATCCCATGTGGCAGCCCCAATATGCCCGCGGTCTACACCAAAGTGATCTCGCACCTGGAGTGGATCAAGGAGACCATGACAGCCAATTCCTGAATGCCCCCACCATGTTCTCTACCCCAGTAAAATCGAATACGCATCAAATTCGCATCACATTCCGTGTCCTCTGGCCCTCCAGACGCTGGGAACCTGGAAGCTGGGGATCCACCCAGCCCAGTCTAGAATCCTCTACAGCCCTCCCAGGCTCGCGGCAGGAGGCGTGCATGAATGAGCTAGGGAAAAGGAAGGAGCAGAAACAGGTGTAGACAAACCGGCAGAGAGAAGCTCAGACCCCAAAGGGCAAGCAAGGCAGGGACTCGATACTGGTTCACACATTTGGACCCGACCCTGCTCTAGGGGAGAGGACGCAATGGAGGGTCGGACTTAAAGGTTGTGAGGCGCCCACGTTTTATTGTGTCGGAAACGTCAGTAAGGGGGGGCGGGTAGGAAATGTTATCACAAGCCACGCCTTTCGGGGGGAGAGGCTGGTTTCCCAGAACCGCGTAGCTACATCAAATACTGGGCAGTTCAGTGTCCCGCCGGGGGCGTGACTGGATATCCAGGGGCGGGACTCGCCCTCGGAAGGGGAGGGGTTCCCAAGTTGGAGTGCAACTTCGGGGCGTGGCCTGAGAGGGCTAGCTTACGGAAAAGCTTACGGGGCGGTGTCGCACTGTAGGGGTGGGGGCAGGATGAGGAGTCAGCGGGCGGGAACAGAGCTGCAAAGGGTAAACCCTAGCTCGAGGGGTGGGGCATGTTCCTTGGGAGTGGGGCCTCGAAGGGAGGTCTAATCTCGGGCACGTGGCCACGATGAAGGGGAAGGGCCCGGTATCTGACTGCGGTCACTGGTCAGTATCCTGAGAAGCTCGGGTACTACTGCTTCGAGAGGCTTGAGGGGGTGAGTGCATTGGGCAGGTCCACGGTGTGCTTCTGGTCCGCGGCGGACTGTTCTTGGGACGTGCGTCTCGTGGTGTTCTGCTGCCAGGCCCACCGACGATCCTCACCCGCCGCTCCTTAAAGGACGTCCTTTTGCTCCACATGCCCACGTGGTTTAAGTAGCTCAGAGCTCCTGCGGGCGGGAGGGCTAGGGGGCCGCTGAACTCCGAGCCCCGCCCTAGGCCCCGCCCCATCCCTCGAGGGCGCCTCCCCTCGGCTCCGCCCCTATCCGGCCCCAGGCCCGCCTCCAGTTTCCCCCGGACTCCGCCCCCTGCCCTACCGAGGCACCGCCCCTTCCTCCCGAGGCCCCGCCCTTACCGGCCCACAGCATCAAGGCGCCGGCAGCCCAGCACAGGTAGGTGGTCACCAGGTAGGATACCTGTGGCCTCGGGCGCAACGTCTCGCAGTTGACTACAAAGAGTGTCAGACTGAGAACAATCAGGAGCCCTGCACTGGGGTGGGGCCAGAGATGGACACAAGGCTGGACAGGGACCCCAGGACCCCCCAGAAAAGAGAAGAGAGACACACGGCCTCTCCTCTCCCACTCTCCGCGACAAGCCATTGTGTGTGCGCGCGCACACACACACATACACTCCCGTGACAGACAGAAAGATACCCTGACGGAAGTGTAAAGAAGGAGAGGGGAAACAGGGAGGAGAGAGAGATACCCGCTACAGTCACCCCGACTGCGAAAGATAAAGTCGAATTGAGGTGCACACAGAAAGAGTGGGGCAGAGACCCCAACTGCCATTCAAAGACCGACCCAGCAGATAGCACCTCTTACCCCAAGCCGACACTTACCAATGCTGAAGCTGAGAGAACTGAAGACAAGGTCAATCTTAGTTAGGCGTCGGAAGACTGGCCGGAAGGAGAGGCCCATGGTGGGGAGGAGGATGAGACACAGGGTCAGGGCCAGCATCATGAAGCCCATGCTCATATGGATGAGAACTAGGGGGAGAAGAGGAAGTGCTCCAGAGTCATCCCCAGACACTCTCCAAGGTCATCCTCCAATCTCATCCCACTGACATCCCCATGAGCAGCCCAATGGACACCTCCAAAGTTTGGCAACAGACATCCTCAACTTCACCCCCACGCCCATCACCTAAGTTCCTTCCTAGAAACCCCAAAATGACTCTCACTCTCACAAAGTCACCCCAGGCACCTGTAAAGTCAAAATCATCCCCAACTATACCCTCAAATTTGTCCCAAATCACCCCCCACCTACCCCAAAGTCAACCCCAGAATGCTCATAATCAACTCCACCCATACAGATGACCCCTGAGTCACCCCCACTCACATCCTCAAAGTCACCCCACAGAATCATCTCAACCATTTCTAGAGTCATCCCCACAGACACCTCCAAAGTCATCCCACTCATACTCCCAAAAGGCATCCCACAGCAACTCACATTAATACCATCAGTATCACACTCAGACACTCCCAATAGCACCCTCAAAATTATCCAAGACACTTTAGTCACCCATAGTCTCCAAAATCACCCTACTTCTGCTAAAGTCTCTCCCATTCACATCCCAAGGTCTCCTAGTTATCCCATTTACACTCCCAGAACCTCCTGAATATCACCTCCATTCACATCCCAGAGCCCCCCACAGACATTCTCCAAATCACCCACCTTGACCCCCAGAGCATACACAGATATGTACACACAAGAAAAGCTTCCAAATACCCTAAAACCACATAATCCCACTCAGTCTGAGTTGCTATTTATCCAATATACGTTTCAAAACAAGAATTTTGGCCCCTTCTGAGAATTACATCTCCTTTTAGCCCTTCCCTACTTTGCCCACTTTTGAACAGTGCAAGACGGTTTCAGCCAAATAAGCTAAGACTCCATCTACTTTGTTTCTGGCAAACTGTGTATCTCTAACACGTAACCAGAAACCTAACCAGAAAGTAAAAGCTTGGTCATATATACAGAATAGCAAGAGTCCTCTGGGGATCAATCACAAAATCCTGGTTGAGGACTTATGACATGCTTTGCCTTCTGGGGCCATAAAAATAGTCATGACTCTGGCTGAACCAATCACAGTGTCCCATACCACAGGCCATGGTGATTGGCCCAAAGATAGGCACATGACCAAAGCCAACTAATCAAGCTCTGCTCTGGGATTTCTCTCTCTCTCTCTCTCTTTTTTCTTTTCTTTTCTTTTTTTTTTTAGATTTTATTTATTTATTTGAGAGAGAGATAAAGAGCACAAGCAGGGGGAGTGGCAGGCAGAGGGAGAAGCAGGCTCCCTGCCAAGCAAGCACCCTGGGATCATGACCTGAGCCAAAGGCAGATGCTTAACCAACTGAGCCACCCAGGCGCCCCTGGGACTTTTTCTAACTGAAGCTGTCAAGAGCGCTCTTTCCTCTAGTCAAGAGGTTTATGAGCCTGGGGCTGTCTGAGCCTTGGACCCAGTCTCATGAGGGCAGGAGATCTGATAGAGTAAAACTAAGAAAGAAAAGCAGACAAGAGGACAGGAGAAAGAGAGTTGAGATGACATTCAAGTCCCTGGCTCTTGTCATCCCAGAGACTAGAGTACCTGTGGTTTGGTCAGAAGTAGACATTTGTGGTGTAAGCCTCAAAGTCCATTCCCTACTCTCAGCCCCAGTTATAAGCCAATCAATGCATTGCATTGCTCTGCTGCTATATTTGTTTTGGGGTGCTCATGTGACCCAGCCACACAAGACTTTTGTAGGAACTTTTTGTGTTCTTTTTCCTGCCAGACTTGAGGCCACATTGTTAGTATTTCTGCCAGTTGTCTGTCTGTCTGCTCTCAGATCCATTCCCCACCCTTCCCTGTTCTGTATTGCAAGGACTACATTTCTGAGCCTCCTTTGCTCATTGGCTTATCAGTATGTTTGGCTTATGGGCAGCACCAGCAGAAGACTAGCTCTGGAAGGAGAGGACAAGCCAGTGTATTTATTTCCCTCTCCCCAACCCCCACCTCAGCTGGTGTCTTTATTAGCAGTAGCTGCATTTTTTTTTTTCCTGTGATTCTAGTCACCTCTAAGCAAATCCCACCATGAGTCTATGCCTTCCAGATGGCTCCAGCTTCCAGGCTCTGGTAAGACCACCACCTCCCTTTCTTCTGTCCCTATATTTACCCCCTCTGAAGCATCTAGAATGATTTATTTTCCTAACTAGATCCTGACTTATCACAATGTGGAGCCTTGAGAATGAGGCCAATTTAAGTACCCAAGAAAGAGACAGATAGTAATGTCTGATGCTCTCACTTGGACTCTTGAATTCAGCCATGCCTGAAAGCATTCCTACTCCCACTCTTTTTCATTTAGGTGAGACCATAAACTCCTTCACTCAAGCTATTTCAAGCCAGAGTTTCTGTTACTTATGATCCCAAAGATTCCTGACTAATCCAAATCCTTTCTGTAAGTTGGCAAGGAGCACAGGATTCGATGCTGCCTGCATACCACATACTAAAATCACAGTCAAACCCTAACACACACACACACACACACACACACACACACAACCAGAATTGCATTTGCACCAAAAATCTAGAGGGAGAAGAACTCCCCAAAGCTGAGAAGCAATTGGTAAAATCTCAGAGGCAAAAGTGGGGAAATTAGAACATAAAAATTCTAAGTTTCTACACCTTAAAAAAAGCCCTCATAACCTGTATGTTATGTCTTTATGCCAACCATAAGGCATACATTCTTAGCATTCAATAAATGATGACTTACTTTTAAAAAGAGAGCTGTAATACGGCCTGTGTGTTTTTTAAGTGATAAACATATACATTATATAGAGAGACATACTTATATGTGTGGGTGTGTATGTATGTGTTTGTAGATAAACATAGCTATATTCTCATATGTGCAGAAAATAAGACTAGAAGAACACACAAGAGCTTAAAAATGGCTTAGTAGCATCAGTTGCCCCCAGGAAGGGGAATGGGTGGGATGGAAGACAGAAATGCGAGGGAGACTCTTGCACTTGTTAAAATGTTGAACTGTGTAAATATATTGCTTGTTCAAATAAAAGTAACCTAAATTTTAAAATAAAAAAAAAACTGGGGCGCCTGGGTGGCTCAGTTGGTTAAGCGACTGCCTTCGGCTCAGGTCATGATCCCAGAGTCCTGGGATCGAGTCCC